TCTTATTTTTTAACCCTAACTCAAGGATATTTTTTCTATTGATTTTATTTATTTTTTTAATTTATCCTCACCTGGGGAAATTTTTGCATTTATCTTCAGATAGAGCGGGAGGGAGAGAGTGAAGAAGAGAGAGAGAAAGAAACATTGATGTGAGAGAGACACATTGAGTGGCTGCCACCCACAAGACCCCAACCGGGGCCGGGGACAAACTACAACCGAGGTACATGCCCTTAGCGGGAACTGAACCCGGGACTCCCTGGTCCGTGGACCGATGCTCTAACCGCTGAGCCAAACTGGCCAGGGCTTTTTATTATTTTTATTTTTTATTTATCTTTTCCATTGACTTTAGATAGAGTGGAAGGGAAGGAGAGAGAGAGAGACATCGATTGGCTGCCTCCCACACGACCCCAACCAGGGCCAGGGATCGAACCTGCAACTGAGGTACATGTCCTTGACTGTGAATCAAACCTGTGACCCTTTGGTCTGCGGACCGATACTCTAACCACTGTGCCAAACTATGAGTGATATCTTAATACAGTTATTTTAAAAAGAACTCAGTGGACGTGGAGTACAATGATAATTAGAGATCACTTAGATCAGGGATTTTTTTTTTAATCCTCACCCGAGGACATTTTTTCCATTTTTTGTTCAGATAGAGTGGGAGGGGGAGAGGGGAAGAGAGAGAGAGAGAGAGAAACATCGACGTGAAAGGGACACATCGAGTGGCTGCCACCCGCACTACCCAACCAGGGCCGGGGACAAACTGCAACGGAGTTACGTGCCCTTAGTGGGAACTGAACCCGGGTCTCTTAGGCTGACGCTCTAAGCACTGAGCCAAACCGGTCGGGGCAGATCAGGGATTTTTAAAACATGCAATACCTGACTCTTTAGTCAGGGTGCTGACCTCTTTTTCTTAGACTGTCATATATAAAAATGACAACAGCCAACACAACAATAGCCCCCTGATGAGAATGAATCAAAATCATAACAATTTCTTTGTCAGGTTGGCAAAAAAAAATATTTTTTGGTGTGCTGCAGAATTTTAGTAATTAACATGTGTGTGCGCCATGAGATAAAAAAGGTTGAAAAATTGGTGACTTAGATCAATGACTCTAGTCTGAGAGTGAAGCAAATTACTGCTAGCCTAAGTAACATTTAAGTAAGGCAGTTTGCAGTACATCGTTTGATAATCTCAGACTTCTTTAGTCCTACTATAAAACCTACCCCCGTAACAACTATTTAAAATTAGGGGAGGAGAGATATCAAACAAATTGGCACATATACACATAAAGTATTTCAGATGAGCGATTCCCAAGCGCTGGTAATGCCATTTAAGGAACTGTACACAGCGAGGAGAACGGCACGCCTGTTGATCTGAAGTGATAACTACTAACCATTCTTATTTATTAGGACATGATTCAGCCAGGCCACAACAGCAGTACTGGGGGTCTTCACAATCGGTAGGAATAGGCAGAGTTGTCTATTGAACAGTCACCTCTGCTCAGGGTCTTTATCTTTAGACCCGCCCTGCTTCCTATGTTTCTCCTTAAAATTTCCGTAAATCACATTTTCATTGACCAGGTTAACTCTCAGTATGACTGTAGTTTATTTACATTCCCAAATTATTTTAAAAATCCTAAAAATAATTTGATACTTTAGGTTATCAGCTCTGTTTCCATTAGCATGGAAAATGGAAAACTGCCGGTATAGAAATTATAAATGTGTGTGGAGGGCGAAGAGCAGGTCAGATCCGTTGCTGCCAGTTTACAATGAATGGGGTTTCTAAGCATGGGGATTAATGGGAACACAGATAAACTGAAGGAAAGTCTGGGTTTGGGTTATTTTTAGCTTAATTTGGGAGTTTTGCTATAAAAACAAAATATACTGTACTTAATTTAGAAGATGAGTTATCCCCTGATAAAAGTTCAATGTTACCCCTCAGTTCAATCTGAGCTTTTTCATAAAATTATCAAATTGACTGATGTGTACTCCAAAAATGGAAGAAAATAAATGGATTTAAAAGTCAGTCATTATGGGAAAAGGCTATTAATACTAATAACCGAACCAGAGAGTAATTAAGACATAGGACTAATAACAAGAAGACAAGCCCGAAACATGGAGAGTAGATTCATAACACTATGAATTATTCCATATAGAGGGACTTACTGAGTTGAGGTTTACGTTTCTCAATAGGAGAATCAAACAAAACATTACAATATGGAACTTTCCCCAAAGAAATGTGAGAAAAATCTTTTAAGAGAACTGCCTGGACAAGACACAAGGAGAACATTTTATAATAGCCATGAGCATCATGTTTTTACTTCACTAATTAGAAAAGATGACCCTGAAAAAAAACCATAATATATCGGGCCATAGAAAACATGTGTCAGCTTCATGATAAAGTGCATTATCCTTGCCCTGGCCGGTTAGGCTCAGCAGTTAGAGCCTTGGCCCATGGACCAGAGAGACCCGAGTTTGGTTACCGCTAAGGGCACGTACTAGACTGCGGTCTTCCCCAGATCTGGTTGGGGTCGTGTGGGGGCAACCAGTCGATGTGTCTCTCTCACATCGATGTTTCTCTCTCTCTTTTCCTCCCTCTATCCCTCCTCTTCTATCTGAGGATAAATGAAAAAATGTCCTCGGGTGAGGATAAAAAAATAATAATAATAATACTAAAGTCCATTATCCTAATGGGCCCATTCTCTCTCCAGAGAGAAGCAGCAGCGTTGCTCCCAGTCACACACCAAACCTGACCACGGCCACTTGTCCTGGACAGCATGAATTAAACAGTCTGTCCCTGCCACTAAGACAGAGATGCGAGAGGCTACTTCTCTCTAGGTCTCAGTTCCCCCAACGATAACAATAGGATGATTTCTAAGACCTCTAATACTCTATACATCAAAGTTAAAAACATTGAGAAAGAGGTCAACCAGGAGCTCAGTAACTGCCCTACACTCACAAATCAGCCTCTGAGCAAAAGAAAGCTCAGGTTCAACACTCCTCTGGTAAACATTAACAGTTGCCCTGAAGTCCACAGAACAGGACAGAATTAGACCTGCTTCGCTTGGAGTCCTTCCCAAGTTATTAATACGTGAGCGACAAACAGAACTAGTGATTAAGGGAGAGGATGCTGCCGGCGAAGCAGAAGGAAGAGCCGAGCAGAGGAAGAACCTAAACCCAGACCTCAGACCAGAAGGCCCGATGACCTGGGGCCATTAGGCATAGGGATGGGCTTAAACACCTCTATCATTATGTGATAGCATAGATCCATACCTGATATGTGTAGTGATATAGCTCTCAGGCACCAAGAAAAATGCAGATTATATCGCTATACTTTGCTAAGTAAGGCAAGAAATCACAGCTTATGACCATGACCATTTAATAATCTAGCTCCCAAGGGAATGTTGCCTTCATCAGACGAGAAAAGTAACTACTCATAAAAGCCTACTGTCCTTCAGACAGAGGGTCAGTGACATCTTTATATACATAGCAAAGGAAAAGTGAGGCGATGGAGAGCCCATTCTGTGAGCAAGTTTCAACTGCTTTTACTTCCTTTATAAGAACAATGAGAAGAACTCGATGAAACTTCATTTAACATAACTTTGAAGGACCCAGAATATCTCTGACTTTAGAAAGATGCCACCTGGTTAGAATGAAAGAAAACACTGCTTAAACAGAAACTGTGGCTTAATTGTTGAGTTTAAAACTTTTTTTTAAAGAAAATTCAGGTTGTATCTATGTAATATAAAAACACACGTTGCTTCAGCGTGCACCACCATTACTCTATAAATAATTGTTTTACATTTTTTTCTGTGGGAGAGGAACGGGATAAGTCAGCAGTTATTCTGATCAGAAGGTCATTTATCCAAATCCAGAAAAATCCTGAGCTCTTTGAAGCTCTTGGATTCCTAAGACGTTCCTGTACATTTTCATGAAAAACAAAAAAATACAAACAAGTAATATTTCTTCTGGGAACATATGCAATTTTTTTTTTTTTTTTTTGAAGCCCCAAATCCTCTCGACTGTGTCACAGTGACACCAATATGTTGACCCCTTTCCCTCGGGCCACCGAGTCAAGGGGATGTCGGGTCTTTTCTACAGCCCCTGCTCAGCGTGGTCTGTCTCGGCGTCCAGGAGCCGAGGAGCAGCTGCCAGGGTACCTGTAGGCTCCAAAGCAACGAAAGGCCAGTGACAAGTTCACAGAAGCTTACATCATGACACCCAGATTGCAACCAGTTACGCAGCTACTTTCCTTTCAAGAAACACCCTAAACACTTTTGGCCACATCCGTCAGCCTGGAGCGGACGGAGCCAGGCTCTTCGCCGAGACGCCTCACCTGAGGATCAGCTCTCAGCATCTGGACTGAATTAAACTGGCTTCCTTCCACCTTCTCTCGGCTTGGTTCCCTTAAGTTGTTTTGTTTTTCAGCATACCAAAGGGGAAAAATATTTACTAAAATAAACTGGTAAAAGCTTCATAACATATGGCAGACAAGATGCCTACAAACCAAATATAGTTATATCTCTTCAATTACAGTTTATTCTCACTTATTTTATGACAATGCAGAATGCCTTTTGGAAAAGCCATATATGCAAGTTTTTAATCAATCAGGATAATGACAATGACCTGTTTAAAAAACAAAAAGCCACATACCTAAAATAAGACCTCATGAAATAAGAAGAGCCAAGATTCTGATCTCTTCTTGGCTTAGGCTTGAGAGTATCATGATGGCCAAACTCAGCGGCACACCCCCAAGGGATATGATTGGGTTGAATTAAAATAAGACTCACATTGTCAGGTATTTTGAGCATTACAGCAAAAGCTCGAGAAGAGCAAATGTTACTGAAGAGTTTGCACATCTGACCACAATTCTAGGGAAAATCTCTTCCGAGGGCTCATTAAATTGATGAATCTTTTCCTGTTAGGTTGAGAAGTCATTTGAGGTTCTGCTCCTTCCACCACCTCATACGGAAACCCCCAGTGGCTACATGAGTACTCACATTCAAAGCATTCTTCGCAGCTTCTGCTTCTGAGCGACTGTCAAAACTGACAAAACCTACGGGCTGAGGAAAGAAAAAGAAATATGAAGGAAAAAAAAAAAATCAGGGAATATCTATTTTACTGGGTCAAAGGTGATGTCAAACTGAAGAGCTAAGATAAAGAAATGACTACAGGCATTTGTGTAGAAATAAGAAAGCCAGTCTAGAAGAATCATGACTCAGTGGTTTAGCTACATTTCTAACATGAATCAAAGGGACTATGAGGGTAGAGCTGGGGATGTAGAGAATCATAAAAATAATCTCGAGTGGGTTAGAAGGTGAGCAGCAGTGAACAAGGGAATCGAGGAAAACTTGGGTCGAGAGACTCTACTTTCCTAAACTGAATTCAATGTACCTCGGTTTCTTCGTCTTTTGGCGTAGAAAGAGAACTGGTACACAGTGCGAGGAACACAATGACACAACGATAAAAGCCCTGTCCTCACTGCATGATCAAAATCATAAAATGAACATGTCTATCGCAAATCCCAAGGGATGCCTTAAAAAGCCCTGTGTTTAATTAGGTGTGTGAGCCATACTGTTCCAACTAAAGAGAAAGGGGTCATAATCCCTTTGGACTCAATATCTTTCAGTCCAGAGGGACACTCGCAACATAGCTTTTTCCTGATGAACTAGAGAATACCTCACTGAGTGATGGACAGTGATTGGGAGGTGAGCATGCTGAGTGTTCAGCATTAGAGGGGGGAAAAAAGCATACGGCTGAAAATTTTCAAAAAGCTTGCAGAACTACCAGGGTCACTGATTACCACCTTCATTTGGGGTATGAACAGAATGTGATTCTTCACCATCAGGTATTCAGACTGACTGTGAAAGTCTGCCTGTTAACCTTATTATAAAAAGGAAGGAAGGAAGGAAGGAAGGAAGGAAGGAAGGAAGGAAGGAAGGAAGGAAGGAAGGAAGGAAGGAAGGAAGGAAGGAGAAAAGAATTGGCAATAAAAGTGAATTTGGATAATAATTACTTTTGAATATACAGATAAGCACTAATATAACTGCCTTCCTTGGGGCTAGTCCCAGACATTCTAGCTGGGGACTGGAATTACAAACCATTTTCCTGTGCTAATTCCTAACCAATCTGATCCTAATTTTTAAAGCTACAACAACAAAATACAATCCTAATGGGAATAAAGAATGTTGAACCTTAGTAACATTCCTGAAGAAAGGCAATTCAAACTTATTGTAAAAGTGATCATTTATATGCAAGTTTAAAATTCTTACCTGCTTAGATGTGAGCTTTATAAGAGAACCTTCATAGCCCTGAAAATAAAACAAACCAAATTTAGACAACGACAAAAAGAGTACTAGGGGAAAAAAGCAAGTATATCTCAAGTAAAAATAAGTCCTTTATCCTTTATGACTATCGATTACCTTTTTTCACAATTGCATCTTAAATTAACCTGGAAAGCAAATTATACACACAGGCACACACACATACTCATGTGTATATATGTTTGCAGACTTGGGCCTCAAAGAAATCAAGCCCTGAAATTCATGCATTTTTATGTTTCTTTTCCTTATTTTTTTCTTTTCATGAAATTAGGCAATGGTAGGAAAATTGGTGTCTCCATCTATAGCAGATCTCTGTGTTTTATAGAACTAGGAGAGGGAAGGGGTACATTTACTAAGAGAGGAAGGTTAGAGTATGTGATAACTTAGTCATGTATTTGCTATAAAATAACAATGAAACATTAAGAATATACTATATTTTGGTGATCACTTCATAAGTTATATAAATGTCTAATCAACATGGTTATACACCTGATACTAATATAATATTGTACATCAACTACAATTGAAAAATGAAAAATTATTTTTTAAAAAAGAATCTACTAAGTAGAACTTATTAATCAAAATTTCAAAACTTCCAGGAAAGGTTAAGCAGACAGTGATGCTAAATTTTGTTGAGTTTTTTTGCTTATTTATTGAATCCGCCAGTTTTCATGTTGGTGGTTCCATTTGGGACATGAAAAGTTCCCTACTGGGTTTTTCCTAGAGCTCACCCTCAAGGAAGAGAGAAGCACTCCATCTCAATCCCTCTCTTCACCCCTCCCTGGCGCCTCGGGAAAAGGACAACAAAGTGTGTTTATTTCTAAAAATAATCAATGGCTGGTGGCTTGCATGATGGATGACACAGAGGGGGAAAAACATCGCTTGACATGATTGACCACCGCACAGATCAGTGCAGAGACAGATTTGTAGACCTAGGTCAACCTTCAGGGATTTTAATTAAAAGAGGGCTGTTAGGAATGTAGCAGGGTCCTGACTTTAAGGAAAGCATTTCTGGGCAGAATGTTGGGATTGATTCATCCTCATATCTTCTCAGCACAGAACTATGTGACCAATTAGCTACTGTAAACATTTCACCTCAAAGGCCTTGAGCTCTTCTGGACAAAGAGGTCATGATTCACAGCACTGCCTCTTCCCTTTTCAAGGTGCTTTCTCTGAAAAGCCTAGAGGTCTAAACAGCCTGAAGGCCTCGGTAGCAAAGGACAAATGGATATTTCACTCAAGTAAACACCACTGGCAGAAGTACACTGTGCTCTCAAGTCACAAGAAGAGAATATCATGCAGTAAGTTCAGGACAGGGATGGCAGAGTCAGACTGCTGGAGTTCAAATCCTAGCCCTGCCTTTTATTATGTGTGCAAACCTGAGCAAAATTTATTCAACTGCTCGAAGTTTCATTTTTCATATTTGAATAAACGAGGCCAACGCACCTTAAAGGATGGTGACGAGAATTAAATGAGTAATTCACATAAGGGGCTTGCTAGCTGAATCTCTCTCTACACATACATAAACCACAGTATTTTGTCCATTAAGAAGATCAATTAGCTTAAAATGCCCTCATCCTACAAAAGGGATAGTGAACACTGCAGCCCTACAGAAGAAACGGGAAATTCTACAAAGTGGGCACTCTCTTCCCACAATACTTTCTCTTTTAAAAAAGAAATTTTTTTTTCTTTATTGATTTTTTAGAGAGAAAGGAAGGATAGAAAGAAACATCAATGAGAGAGAACATCAATTGGCTGCCTCCTGCATGCCCCCCACTGGGGATTGGGCCCACAACCTGGGCATGTGCCCTGACTGGGAATCAAACTGCTGACCTCTTGGTGCATGGGTCAACGCTTGGCCACTGAGCCGCACCAGCCGGGCAACACCTTCTCTTTCTCCCCCCCTTCCTCTAAGCTAACCTCATGTCCATGCTTTCTGTGTCCTCTGCACTGTCGCCATTATTGTTGCATTAAGCTAGCAATTTTCAGCCGATGTCGCAAGAATTTTTAAAACATGCAAAACTTGACTGTTTAGTCAGGTTCACTGACCTCTTTTCCTGTAGACTGTCAAATTAAAAAGATGGCAACAGTCAACACAACAACAGCCATCCGGTGTGAATGAATCAAAATAATACCTATTTTTTTTTTGTCAGATCGGCAAAAAATTAATATATTTTTTGGTGCACTGCAGAATTTTAGTAATTAGTTTACCTGTGCCACGAGATGAAAAAGGTGGAAAATCACCGCATTAAAGATATGGCTGTCAGAATGGAATGATGTCATTGTACGGTGCCTTCTTGGCACACAAGCTAGACTCTATTTTATCTTTGTTGGCTTTAGCTGGCTGCCCTCTTGATCCTCCCGCTTCCTTTCCTACACAGCTGTTTTCAGCTGTCACATCCTGTTCGCTCTCCCTAAGAAGCTAGATCCTGTCCCACAACCTGTCTTGCATCTGTGGCTTCAACAGGGATGGAACTTTAACCAAAACTCAAGACGGACGTTGCCTCATCGTAAGTGTGCCCCAGTTGGCACCACGGGCTGACATGTCCTCAATGACCAGCACAGACACAGGTCCTGAACTGATCATGACTTCCTGTTCACTCCTGAGGGCCAAGACCTCCAGCCCACAGTCTGCCCAGTCCCAGCCTTCTCTGATCCGCCACAGATTAACCCTTCAAGGTTTTGCCTTCGAAGTGTGGTTATTTCAGCTTTAGTCTGACTTCCTTGTAAGTTTTCAGTCCCAGCTGCATTAATTATCTCTAAAGTAGTTTTATCTCGAGTCCCACTGCGTGAAATATTTCATTAAACACCAGGAAAGATTCCCATCATGCCAAGCGACACTGTAAAATTTGTTTTACTTGATTGAAACTTAGGATATTTTTCCCATGGAACTAATAATGGTATTAGGTTCTTAGTCTAATTAATATAATGCCTATTTAACCTATTAAGTTTTCAAAGAATAGTACTAACAGAACTATTTTGACTAATAATCTCTTGGGGATAAGGCTGGACTTATATTGCATTTGAAACACAAATACATAATCAGTAACTGATAATATTTTTGGTGATCTGTACCTAGAACACCTCCAACTGATGGAAGTCACTAAAGCTGCTGCATGTGGAAAAGACAGCTATATGTCCACATCAGTAAGAGAAGAGACTTATCTAGATTAGCTATTGGGAGGACAAGAGGCCGTTTCGTCTTTCCTGAGTGAGACTGTGGAGAAGAACTGAGATGTTAAATCCCCATTACTCACTAACCTTTAAAAAAGATCACTTTATAGGGTACTTTCTCAAACATTTCATTTGTTCCTCCAAAGAGACCCCATGAAGTTTACACACACACATTTCGTTTCCTTTTACAATTTCTGAAAGGTCGAAAGGGTACCTTAAATGGTCTGAAAAGCAGATAGAGCTCCCGAGGTTTGATGTCCAGAGGGAGACCACTGACAAAGAGGGTCCGGACCTGGAAGAGAAATACGAGAAGTGATCAAAGGAGTGAATCCAGAGAATAGCTCTCACTTGAAATTTCAAAAACACATTTCTTCAAATATTCCACGAACCCTACCTAATCCATGTTCTTTCAATGGCATACGAGTACGCTAATGTTAAGAGGCCAGTAAGTCAACTCTCCTATGTGGACTATTCACAGCGAAATGCCTCTAGCTGATTTAAATTCATAAGCAGACTTCTTGCCCAACTAGCAATTGCCTAGTTCTAAAAATGTGAGGGGAAGAGAGGGTCTATCTAATTAAATTATTAGCTTAAGAAACAAGTGTGGCAGTAAATCTATCACCCCTCCTCTGCTCTAATCAAATGAACACAGAATGTAGTTCAAAAAGAAAATCAAAGCCATTTTCGTTTTCTCCTGCTTGTCCTGTCATCCCTCATCTGCATTAACAATTACAGTCCTTGTAATAAATGAAAACATTTATTGAACAATTAATTCAAATACATCTAAAGAGTCGCCAGAACGGTTAATTCTGCATCTTCTCAGTTCCAAGGCAGGGACCTCACTGACCTACACCTATAAGGCCTAGGGTACAAACTATGTATGTGTCAGCTAAAATTCAGAACACAGATGACACACTTCCAGCTGAGAGGATTAGAGAAAACATGTGAGTATCTCAATGGGAACTTCAAGGATAGGTGGGATTTTCCCACATAGGTATAAAAGGTTAGATGAGATGGTCCAGAGAAAAGCACTAACCACAGCAATAAAGAGGGGATAGCACAGTGTATTCTGGGAGATGGGTGGGCAAAATTGACAGGTAGCTGAGGATCAAACCAGAGGGGACATGAAAAGTCACTGGCTCAGGAATTTGGTGTTCAATCAGTAATCGAGGAGTAACCACTGAATTATCATCACCACTACATTTTGTTTCTCCTTATTTATTTTAGTGTGCTTTGTGTGCCTTCAGTCAGGCCCCCTGCCCTTGCTCTATTGAGAGAGAACTGACATGTAACATTGTGTAAGTTTAAGATGTACATGTTGATTTGCTCTACTTATAAGCTGCAAGATGATTACCACCACAGCTGTTAGCTAAAGCCTCTGCTCACGTCACATAATTACTATTTCTTTTTGTGTGAGTGGTGAGAACATTTAATGTCAACTCTCAGCAACTTTTAAGTATATAATACAGTATTAATTATAATCACAACACTATGCCTTAAGATTCTCCAAACTTATGCGACTCCTAATAGAAAGTTTGTGTCCTTCCCGAGCCCCTGGTAACCATCATGCTACTGTTTCTATGGGATTGCCTTCACCCCCACATTTTTTATTTCTCCGTCTACTCTGGCTGATACCATGATTGTGCTCCTCATTAGAAATCATGTTGCTACTTTAAAATTCAATGCTCAATTGTTAACATATGTAAATATGGAAGATCTTTTTTTCTGCAGTGAGAAATAGGAAGAATGTTTTCTAGAATCCTAGCACTCTCCATTGGCTCTGGTTGTAAAGAACTGCACATCAGCCAGTAAGCTCGGCTCATTGACCCAGCACAGTACATGGTAAGATGTCATGCCACCTGCGTGGAGGGTTTAAGAACCAGTATGGTGATATCAGCAGCCCCAGTACCATGAATGCTTTATTTTGTTATTTCCTTATTCATTTATATTTTAGACAGCTTTATTGAGGTACAATTGATACAAAATAAACTGTACATCTTATTTATAATTTGATAAATGTTGACATATGTATAACCTCTGAAGCTATCACATCAAGGTAATGAACATATCCATCACTTCCAAGAGTTTCTTCATGCGCTTTTATCTTCCTCCCACCCTGCCTTCACAACAGGTTAGTATGTATGTATGTTCTCAAGTTTTATACAAATTGAGGCATAAAGTATGTATCCTTCTTGTCTGGCTTCTTTTTCTTTAGCATAATTATTTTGAGATTCATGCACACTGTTGCATGTATCAATACTCTATTTCTTTTTATTACTGAGTAGTTATATGGATGTACCACAGTTCATTTATCCATTCACTTGTTGAGACTTTGGTTTTCGGCATTTACAAATAAAATGCTATGGATATTCACATATCAATCTCTACAAGTCTTTGTATGGACATGTTTTTTATCTTCTTGGATAAATATCTAGGAATAGCTGGAAGCTGTGGTAGGTATATGCTTAATTTCTTAGAAAACAATATGGAATCTACTGCCTTCAATTCCTTGTTTTAAGGCTTAGAACATGATAAATGTGCTGTGCGTACTTCAAACAAATGTGTATTCTGTTGCTATTGGGTGGAGTGTGTTTTTTAAAGATTTTTTAGAATTAACTTATTTTTGTTACAGATCTTTTTTATTTGACACCCTTCTCCCAATCCCACTCCCCCCCACACACACAGTATTGTTGCCTATGTCCATTGTTTATGCTTATATGCATATAAATTCTTTGGTTTCTCTCTTCCCTCCCCACCTCCCCTCTCCTCTGAAGTTTGTCAGTCTGAATCCTACTTCTATGTCTCTAGGTCTATTTTGTTCATCCACTTATTTTGTTCATTATATTCCACAAATAAGTAAAATCATGTGATATTTGTCTTTCTCTGATTGGCTTGTTTTGTTTAGGATAATACTCTCCAGGTCCCTCCATGTTATCTCAAAGGATGAGAGATCTTTCTTACAGCTACATAGTATTCCACTGTGTACATGTACCACAGCTTTTTTATCCACTCATCTATTAATGGACACTTGGGATGTTTCCAGATCTTAAAAATAGTAAATGGTGCTGCTATGAACATAGGGGTACATATATTCTTTCTGATTGTGTTTCAGGCTTCTTAGGATATATTCCTAGAAATGGGATCACTAGATCAAATGGCAGTTCAATTTTTAATTTTTTGAGGAAACATCACATTGTTTTCCACAGTGACTATACCAGTCTGCATTCCAACCAGCAGTGCACTAGAGTTCCCTTTTCTCCACACCCTCACCAGCACTTGTTGTTTGATAATTTGTTGATGGCAGCCATTCTGACAGGTGTGAGATGATTCCTCATTGTTTTTTTCTTTTAATTTTTTATTTATTAATTTATTTTTGTTACAGATGTTTCTCATTTTTCTCCCATTGACACACTCTTCCCCTCTCCCCTACTCCATCCCCAGCTTTGTTGTCTATGTTCATTGGTCATGCATACATGCATGTAAGTTCTGTGGTTTATCTTCCCCCCCCAACCCCCCAATGAGGCTTATCAGACTGTACCTCACCTCTAATGTCTCTGGGTTAATTTTGTTCAACAGTTTGTTTAGTTCATTATATTCCACAAATAAGTGAGATCATGTGGTATTTGTCTTTCTCTACTTGGCTTGTTTCGCTTAGCATAATAATTTCCAGGTCCTTCCATGCCATCTCAAAGGATAAGAGATCTTTCTTACTGCTGCATAATATTCCATTGTGTACATGTACCACAGCTTTTTAATCCACTCATCTACTGATGGACACTTGGGTTGTTTCCAGATCTTAGCTATTGTAAATAGTGCTGCTATGAACATATATTCTTTCTGATTGGTGTTTCAGGTTTCTTGGGGTACATTCCTAGAAGTGGGATCACTGGGTCAAATGGCAGTTCAATTTTTAACTTTTTGAAGTAACACCATATTGTTTTCCACAGTGGCTGCACCAGTCTGCATTCCCACCAGCAGTATAGTAGAATCCCCTATTTTCCACACCCTCGCCAACACTTGTTTGATGATTTGTTGATGGCGACCATTCTGACAGGTGTGAGGTGATACCTCATACTTGTTTTAATTTGCATCGCTCTGATGATCAGTGATGTTGAGCATTTCTTCGTATGTCTCTTGGCTATTTGTATGTCCTTTTTGGAGAGGTGTCTATTTAGGTCCTCTGTCCATTTTTTATAAATATTTTTTTAGTTTTTGGTTTTTTGAGAGAGGAAGGGGGAGGAGGAGGAGAGAGAAATATCAGTGTGAGAGCAAAACATCGACTGGCTGCCTCCTGCATGCCCCTACAGGGGATCAATCCCACAACCCAGGCATGTACCCTGAAAGGAAATTGAACCAGTGACCTTTCAGTGTGTGGGATGATGCCCAACAAACTGAGCCACACTGGCCAGGTCACACTGGCCAAAGCAGGGTGGAGTGTTTTACAGATGTCAATTAGGTCAAGTTTGTTGTTCAGTACATCTTTTGCTTCCCTTCTTCTCCCCCATTTTTGCCAGTAATAATTCTTCTGAAGGAACACTCTTTAAAAAAAAAAAAAAAAGTTGATTTTTTTTTTAAGAGAGAGAGGAAAAAGGAGAGAGTGAGTGAGAGAGAAACAGCAATTAGCTGCCTCCTATACACACCCCGACTGGGTCTGAACCCACAACTTAGGTATGTGCTCTGATCAGGAATGAAACCCACAACCTTTCAGTTTATGGGACAATCCTCCAACCAACTGAGCCACACCGGCTAGGGCCCAAGGAACATTCTTTACCAAAGCTAAGGCTGAAACACTGACAACCGCCAAAGGCAACCCTGCTATTCAGTGTTCCCTCCCTGACATCCACAGCCCTCTTCCCATAGTCCAGAAAGTGAACACCCACCTGTTCTACTTGGCCACTCTGGACAGTTCCGATTTTGCTGGGTGCCCACATATACCTTACACTAGCCAGGTGCTGACTGGATTACAGAGATTGCCATGGAAACAGTATGATAAGCAAATCCTACATCTGAAACACTGGATTCCCATTTGTCCAGCAGGGAAGCTTAGCTATGTGATAGGTGTCAGTTAGGATCTGGGTTAACTTGGGAAATAAAGTGCCATTTATAGTGCTGACCTAAAGAAGAAGGTTTTATAAACTTGCAAGTCAAATAATTCAGCAAAAACACCACTAGAAATCTAAGGGTAATCAACAAGATGATTTTATATAAATTAAGGTTTATATATATCCATAAAATATAATATGCAATCAATAAAAATGATGGTCAAGGAAAAAGTACACATTGATTGGTTTT